AAGGGAAGAGGGCTAAACGTCTTTAGGCTTGCGGACTGAAACTTTGCCCCACGATTTGAAACCGTACCTGGAGAAACCTGCATACACTGACTTTACAAGGAAGTGTACCGAAATTCTTGTAGTATATGTAGCTTCCTACACCCCAAACCCTAAACCCTAAACCCTCAATTTTGAGTACATCTATAACTTGCGTTTAAGGTGCAAGGCTCCTCTAGGAAAACCTTGAAGCCACAAGATCGAGACCGCCACCAGCCAGATGACGTCTTTGGCATGAGGTTTGTTTAGGGTTTAGGGTTTAGGGTTTAGGGTTTAGGGTTTAGGGTTTAGGGTTTAGGGTTTAGGGTTTAGGGTTTAGGGTTTAGGGTTTAGGGTTTAGGGTTTAGGGTTTAGGGTTTCAGGTTTAGGGTTTAGGGTTTAGGGTTCAGGGCTTAGGAAACTGCAAGAATCACAATAGATGCTTCCTCGGGGCATCCTCTCCGGCACATTGTATGCCTCGATCTCGACGATTCCCACGCCCAATTGTGCGAAGGCCCAATGCAGACACGTGGTGTACTGGAACATGACCTTGTTGCTCCAAAATGGACCCGAAATTAGAGAGCTTCCCTAGGTTAACTTGTTGTGGCTGAGGTTTCGTGGCTTTAGGGTCTGGGGTTTGCGGTGATGTGTGGTGAGCGAGCAGTTCCTAGCATCCGGAAAACGAGGCAGTTGTGTTGGGGTTTACGAAATAGGGAACCCCGAATAATACGTATGGTATCCTGAAAATCGTAACCCCCATGTCTGAAATGGCGACATGGACTCTACAGACCCTGGGTAGTTTCAAGTCTTAAGCAGGGTTATCAGCGCCCCCCCGCACATGCAAAGAAAACACGCGTTCCCCAAGTATTGCGAAGCAAACCAGCTCTAACTACCAGTCAGCCCCTACCCCTAAACCCTAAACCCTAAACCCTAAACCCTAAACCCTAAACCCTAAACCCTAAACCCTAAACCCTACGTTCAAAGCCCGGAAGCTTTGGAGGGCACACTTGGCTCGCAGGGGTAGCTTGGACAAAGGGCCCTCCACCCTTAAAAACCCTAAAACCCTTAGACCTTAAAACCGCTAAAACCCCTTAAACCCTAAAACCCTTAAACCCTTGAACCCTTAAACCCCTTGAACCCTTAAACCCCTTAAAACCCTTAAACCCTTGAACCCCTTGAACCCTTAAACCCTAAAACCCTAAACCCCAAGCCCCGAACACGCCTAAGCCCCGAACACCCCACACCAGGCGGCTTCAGTTTCCATGAGCCCGGTCTGCGATAGCCAGGTCTGCGGGGAAGTGGTCAGGGTGCCAACTCCGAACCTCAATCAGGGTTTAGGGTTTAGGGTTTAGGGTTTAGGGTTGAGGGTTTAGGGTTTAAGGTTTTCGGTTTAGAGCTTGGGGCTTGGACAGTGGCGTGGGCAGATTTTCTTTGCGCTAGATCCCGCGCAGGTTCAGAGCGGAATACCATGCAAAAGCGTTTTAGGGTGCACGGGTGTTTGGGGTTTAGGGTGTACAGGGTTTAGGGAGGGCGAGTAGGGTTTAGGGTGTATAGGGCTTCGGTAAGTTTAGGATGTAGTGGACCTTTGGGCGAAATTTGTGGCGCATTCGGGGTTTGGCGTTGGGCATTCTCTATGTGTATATATACGTATATATATATATATACATATGTATATCTCCCTCTCTCTCTCTCTATCTTTGTTTATCTCTCCCTCTCTCTCTTCCTCTCTTCCCTTATTGGGTGACAGAAGGTCTTACGCAGGACTCCCTCCCCCCCTTCCAGCGGAGTCTTCCGAAGCCGTCGCCATCTTCAGGGGGCATGGCAGCATTGAGGGAAACCCTGTAAAACTAAACCATATACGCCCTAAACCCTAACCTCTCTAAACCCTAAACCCTAAACCCTATACACGAAGCCCTGTGCTGCGCACTAGGGCGTTTAGGGCTTTTAGGGCTTAGGGTTCAGGGCTTCGGGTCGCTGATGGTGTCTGAGGGGTGCAGGGTTTACACTTGGAGGATCATGGGACTTAGGAAGTAGGGTTAGAAGTACCCTAATTGGGGCTAGAAGCAATTGCAACCCTAAACCCTAAACTCGAAGCCCTGAAAACTGTAGTTGCCCAAATTATAACGTATAACCCTACTTCCTCCGTCCCCTGATCCTTTAAGTATTCCCTTATGGCCCCCTATATTAACCTTAAACCCTAAACCCTAAACCCTAAACCCTAAACAGGGCCGACCATGGCACAATGAGGCGCCGGCCACAGGCACGCGATGACGTGCTGCAGCAACAGCATCATGGCCAGCATCTTGAACCTCAAGGGTTTAGGGTTTAGGGTTTAGGGTTTAGGGTGTAGGGTGTAGGGTTTAGGGTTTAGCGTTTAGGGTTTAGGGCAGGGACTTGATAAACCTAAACCCTGAACCCTGAATCCCGAGCCCGCAACCCGAGACCCTTTAGGTCTTATAGAAGGGCTTAGGGCTTAGAGTTTAGGGTTTAGGGCTTAGGCTGTTTGGGGTTCGGGGTTTGGGGTTTAGGGTTGGGGAAAAGTTTAATAGTGGTTGAGGGAGTTGTTTTGTTTTATTTTGACTTCTTCTTTCTTTTTTTTTTTTTGGGGGGGGGGGGGGTGGTGTCGATTAGAGGTTTAAGAGAAGTTGCTTCGTGTTCAGGGAAGTTGAGCAACAACAGCCAAGAATCCAGAAGTATGCAACAAGAACAACAGGCGGGCGGGTAGTTCTCCAACTTAGGGCAACTTAGGGTCCCTTTTTGGGTTTTTTCTAGTACAGCACCCTTAAAACGAAGGATCCCCCAATAAAAGGGACCCTACTTTAGAGAACGACGTGCGCTTCTTCCGGTCAAACCCCGAATGCGCACAGCGTTTTTCAACTGGTTCTGGACAGAGAGGCTGTCACCGCCAGAGAAAAGATCGCCCCAAGTGACGACACGACTGTCGCCAAGAACAGCGGCAAACGCAGAGTCCGTGCCCTTGATCTGCTGCACGTCCTTCAGCTGATCCTCGACAACGCTGCAGTCACCACCGGCGAGATCATCCCCCCAAGTCAAAACAGATCCGTCAGCGAGGATTGCGGCGAAGGCCCGCTCAGTAGACTGGATTTGCTGCACATCCTTCAGCTTCTCCTTGACTGAGCCACTGTCACCACCAAAACGAGGGTCGCCCCAAGTCACGACGGTTCCATCACCAAGGATCGCCGCAAAGGCATAATGCGTGGCCTGGATAGTCTGCACGTCCTTCAGTTGATCCTTGACGGATCTACTGTCCCCGCCACAGAAAGGATCACCCCAGGTCACGACATATCCATCCAGGAGGACCGCAGCGAATGCCCGTTCCGTAGCCTGGATCTGCTGCACTGTCCCGAACTGCTTCCTGACAGCGCTACTGTCGCCACCAAACTGGAGGTCACCCCAGGTCACCACCGATCCATCACGGAGGATAGCAGCGAATGCATGCATGGTGCCCTGGATCTGCAGCACGTCTTTCAGCTGGTGCCTGACCAGGCTGCTGTCACCACCGAAGCAAGCGTAGCCCCATGTCACGACGCCTCCGTCCCTACGGATCGCTGCGAACGAAGTTCCTGTGGCCTGGATCTTCTGCACGTCCTTCAGCTCGTCCTGGACGGATGTGCAATCGCCCCCATACCGGGGGTCACCCCAAGTCACAACGGAACCATTGCGGAGGATGGCAGCAAAGGCGGTTTTTGTAGCCTGGATCTGCTTGACAGCCTTCAGCCTGTCCTTCACGGAGTGGCTGTCGCCACCGGAAACAGCATCGCCCCAAGTCACCGCAGATCCATCACCGAGGAGGGCAGCGAATGCCCTCTCGGTCGCCTGGATCTGCTGCACATTCTTCAACCTATACTGAACTTGGGATGCTAGCAAAACTTATCATTCTAGCTGTTTCTTAGGAATGATAGTACCAACAAATTTTCTCAAGTATCCGTAAGCAGCAATGGTTGGACGGAGCTGCTGTCACCACCAGCCCGGGAACCTCCCCAAGTAACGACAGACCCATCCCCCAAGATGGCGGCAAAACTGCTAGCTGTGGCGGCCAGGGATATCTGCTGCACCTGCACAGTCAGCACATCTCCCGTCTGAACACCTGCTTCACCCAGAGTCGCTCCTCGACGCAGCACCTCCCCGGAAGCATTGACCAAGTTGCCTGGTCCAACTCTTAGCGCTGTCTGCGCCTGAATTCTGAGATCATCTGTGGTGCAGTCACGACTGGCTGTGATCTGTGCCGACTTCCCACTCATGAGCGTCACGTCGACACACAGAGACATGGCGCGAGAAACGAGCCCCCGGAATTGACATCCAAAAGCGCTGATCAGATGCCTAGCCCAAACCCTCGCAACCTTGCCTAGCCTTTATACCCTTTCAAGACAAAACGGTACCTTGGCCATGATGTTAAGTAGAATCAGAGTTGTCCAGTTGCCGGAACTACACCACACCACGCAAACCCCGTCTCGCAGAAACCGCTGGCAAGCGACTACCCCTGACCCCTAAACCCTGGACCCTCAACCCGAAGCCCTAAACCCTAATACCCTGAGCTCTAAACCCTGTACCCAGCCCGAGCCGAATCTCGTCCTACCCACCATTCAGCCCGATGAGGACGAATTTTGGGCCAAGGTCGGATGCCGGGATAGTTCGCCGCATTAAGGGTCTTTAGCAGTTTTGGGTTCCAGGCTTTAGGGTGAGGGCTATGATGGGCTGTGCTGTAGAGTAGTCTGTGTGCTGCAAAAAGCTCTGGATGTGTTGATGTGGGGGGGGAGGGGGGGAGGAGGCATGAAGAAAAACAGGGCGATTTGCCTCAGAATGGAAAATCGTGAACCCTAGAAAAAATTTGAAGGAGATCAAGGTTAACTGGCTAGCGTCTAGTTGATGCGCTTCTTATACTGCCTAAGCTTGCCTCTAGTCAGGGCACGTTATTCCTTACTTCTCCCATGGCAACTTAGTTGTTGAAGTTCAAGCACACGAACCTACTGTAGCAAGCCCTCAGCAGCTTCTGCGCCCAGGAGCAGGCTGTATTGCGTCATCGTGACCTGGAATAGCATGAAAAGGACGTGCTAGGCCCTGCATAAAGCATAACATGATGCTAAGCCCGAATCTTTGCCTCAACAAACTCGATGGACATCTCAAAATTCCCCGAAAACCATGAGCTCTATCCGAAAGGTCCACGTGCCAATGCGTTATGTACTTGGACCTCAAGTAGGTTTAGGGGCCAGGCATGTGCCATACATGGTCGGTTCTCAAAAATATGGTCCCTTTTCGGGTACAATAAACAAGAGCGGCCGCCTTATCAGAAGGACACCACAAGGGGGCCATGCTTTAGAGAAGTTACCACATGAGTGGTTGTCAAAATTATGATCCCTTTTGGGGTACCCTGAATACTAGGTGCCGTACTATAATAGGGATCCCACAAAAAGAACCCTAGTTTTGACAGTCACCGGCACTCAAAACCTATGAACCCTAAAGCCTTTGAAGGGTTTAGGGTTCAGGGTTCAAGGGTTTAGGGTTCAGGGTTTTAGGGCTAAGGGCAAAGCTTTGGGTTCAGGGTTTCGGGCTGGCGTAGTAAGGTTAAGGTAGTAAGGCTTAGGCGACCAAAGGTTTTAATCCCCCAAACACCCAGCTTCAGCCATCTTCTTGACGCGGGCGCCTGCGACAGCGTGTTCTCCTCCAGGTGCTGCAGGATCGCATTCCTCAGGGAGCCAGCACTGCAAATGATGGTCCGGTTTGGATACTCCCCCAAAATACGATAATCCTGTCGGACACAAACAAAAACACAAGCACAAGCGCAAGCACAAGCACAAGCACAAGCACAAAAGCAAGCACAAGAACAAAAACAAGCGCGCACACACACACACACACACTCTCTCACTCGCTCTCACTCTCTCTCTCTCTCTCTCTCACTCTCTCCCTCTCTCACTCTCTCTTACACTTCCACTTCCACACTCGCTCGCTATGCGCCATGCAGCTCCCATGCTTCGAACATCCTTCTTGGGCTCAAGGGCTGCAGGCTGCAAGGCTGCAGGGACGAGGGATGCTCAGGGTCCAGGGCGTGGGGTTGGGATTGTTTGGTTTTGTAAGCTTTAGGGTTTAGGGTTTAGGGTTTAGGGCTTAGGGCTACCTGTTTCTGTAGGTCTGTATCCTATTTCTGTAGGTCTGTAGGTTCCCCTTTTCACCAGCCAGAGGGTCGTTTTGATCATTCGCACCACGCGCGCCAGGCGCAGGAAATGCAGGAGGCGGAGGGCCCTGGGGAGTAGCTGAGTTTGTGGCTCATGGAGACTTGGGCTAAACCCTAAATTTTCTTAAAACCCCCAAACCCCTAAAGCCCCCAAAGCCCCCCAAAGCCCCTAAAGCCCCCAAAGCCCCGAAACCCAAAAACCCCAACACCCCTAAAACCGTAAAACCCCTAGACCCAAGACCTAAACCCCAAACCCTCAATTCCTAACACCCCTTAGACCCACCTGTCACCCCGACCCCTTCAGCCTGAGCCCTAAGCCCTAAACCCTTATAAGCCCTAAACCCTAAACCCTGAACCCTAAACCCTAACCCTAAACTGCGTTCGGGCGGTCGGGGCATGTCTTCGCACCCCTGAACTCCTACCCAAACAAAGATGAGGCGCGGGGCTTCGGCTCACCCGTGGACCTTCTGCAACCCGAAACCCCCCCCCCAAATCCCCTAAACCCCGCAAACCTGCACACTTTCTCGGTCTAGGGTTGAGCATGCATGGTCTTTGGGTTTCTGGGCTTGTGGGGAACTCGAACTGCAAGACTTTAGAAGTACTGAGTAACTATAACTATGTCTCGCTATAGCCATGGTTTGAGCTTCTGTTTTGAATTTCTGTGTTAACTTCCGTTTCCTTTTCTTGTTGGGGGTTTGGGGGGGGCAGAAAGAAATACCTCACTAAACCTTAAACCCTGAACCAACGGAATAACTGAGCAATCAACGTCTACAGAGCACGCCAAACCACAACCCTTAGCCCCAAACCCGAAGCTGCAAGGCCCAAACTTTAAGAACATTTAGGGCTTAGGGTTTGGGTTTGGGTTGCCCTAAACCCTAACCCAAACCCTAAACCCTAAACCCTAAACCCTAAATCCTAAACCCTAAACCCTGAACCTTAAAGTCCAATACTTTGAGAATTGGTGATCTCAAGAGCCGAGGCACTTGGAGAGCCTCGCAACTCCAGAGGCTCCGTCGTCCTGGCAGCGAGCAGGTCAGGGTTTAGGGTTTAGGGTTTAGGGTTTAGGGTTTAGGGTTTAGGGTTTAGGGTTCAGGGTTCAGGGTTCAGGGTTCAGGGTTCAGGGTTCAGGGTTTAGGGTTTAGGGTTTAGGGTTTAGGGTTTAGGGTTCAGGGTGTTCAGGGTTCAGGGTTGAGGGTTTTGGGGTTTTGGGGTTTTGGGGTTTAGGGTTGGGGTTTTGGAGCTCGGGCTTAGGGGCTTCAGGGCTTTGAGGCATATATGATTTGGGCTTTAAGGTTGAAGGTTCAGGGGTTTACTGTTTGGGGTTCAGGGCTTCGGGTTTAGGGATGGCGCTGTGGGGGGACGGGGATTGCGGCTTAGAGGTTTACAGTTGTTTGAGGTTTGGCTCACGACTTGCGATGCCCCCTTCCCCCCCCTCCCCCCCCTCCCTCCCCCACATCGCAAAATAATAAAAGCAAACTTCCTATACCCACCCACAAAAGCTGAAGAACCTGCTTGACCCTAACCCCTAACCGCCAAACCCTAAACCCCAAACCCTGAGTTCCAGCTCTTACGTTCACGATCAGACACGTAAGGACTAACTACAACAAAACGTCCTAGCTAAATGCCGACTTCCAATTCAAGCCTATCGCAGTCGCCTAGCACAGCATACTGATTGTTCGTCACCGAAGAGTGGATGGGGTTTAGGGTTTAGGGTTTAGGGTTTAGGGTTTAGGGTTTAGGGTTTAGGGTTTAGGGTTTAGGGTTTAGGGTTTAGGGTTCAGGGTTTAGGGTTTAGGGTTTACGGTTTAGGGTTTAGGGTGCAGCTGCTTGTCCAAACTTGCCCTCTCGCAGCATGTCAACGTCGTGGACCCAAGCCACTTTGCAGAACGCAACTGTGGCGCGCACGCGAATTCCAGGCCGACTGCTGCTGCCAAAGTGAAATATTTGGTGGCACTCTGCCTTCAAGAGACCGAAGCAGCTCCTTCGTAAACTGATGCTCCTTTCCCAGTAAGACTTGTGGGAGCCGTGGCTGCACTGCTGCATCATGCGCAACGCAGGCCAGGTCGGAAATGTAGCTTCGCCGCTCCGCCAAAGACGCGGAATCTTTCGCCATCGGTTTGCCGAGGCTCACCGCCGCAACGGTTCCCTGCAAACCACCGACATACCTGCAGATGGACGTCTCATCCATGTTCAGGATGAGCGGATCTCTGCCCGGCGGCGCTTCGCTGATGGCAAAATTGAGCCACTGGAAGTACGCCGTTGCCTGCACGGACCCAAAAACAGGTCCGTCTGGCGGCACGGGATTTGAAGCCCTGTAAGAAGCATTGAACAAGCATCCCTCCTCCTCTACAAAGCTCATAATGTACCCTAACCCCTAAACCACTAAATTGCTAACCCTAAACCCTGCACCCTAGGCCCTGAACCCTGAACCCTAAACCCTGAACCAACCCTGCGGCCCCACAGGAATTTAAGGCCCAGGCATCGTCGCCCAAGGAGAGTGCTGTCAAGACCCAGTCCACAGTGATCACGCTGAAGTCGAGCAGGAACCAGGAGCTGGCAGCAGAAGGGGTTTAGGGTTTAGGGTTTAGGGTTTAGGGTTTAGGGTTTAGGGTTTAGGGTTTAGGGTTTAGGGTTCAGGAATAATATAGGGGCTAGGGTTAGGGTTAGGGGTTTAGGGTTTTAGGGTTTTAGGGTTCCGAGCTGAAGGCTTAGGGCTTCGGATGCGGATTATAGGGTTCGGCGGTCTTAAGGTTTATGGTTGGGCCGATATTGTCCAACAACCACAGCAGGTCACAGAAGGGTTGGGTTCTTTGGGTGCTGGGGGACTGCGTCGGGCTGGTCGACAATGAAGCTTGGGCTTCCTGAAACCCTAAGTCCTACAACCCTAAACTTGGGATGTTCCCCCTTATACTAACACCCCTTCATGATCATAAGGAATATAGTACCCCCTATGGGAATCTCGATTCAGGACTGTGAGTATAAGGGGGAACATCCCAACCCTGAATCGTAAAGCCCTAAACCCTTGATGCGCAACCCTGCAAAGCCCCAAGCCCCTGAAACACCCTAAACCCTACCTTCCAGACAGGATCCCGACACGCGCCAAAAGCCCAGCAAGCCAGCAGAAACACGCGAATCCTCATTCTTAATCACCCAATATACCCGCGTAATCCCAAGCCCTGACAGCCCCAAAGCTCTTGAGGGTTCAGTCCTAAACCCTAAACAGCCCTAAAGCTCTTGAGGGTTTCGGTTTGGGGGGTTACTGCATGAAAGTCTTCGCATTCACTGGCGAGACGAATGGCACCAGTGGACAGACGTTGGCCGCCCTCTTGAGCGCAATCCTTTTTCGAGTCTAGACCAGGACCATATGCTCCTAAGCAAAAAGATATCTGCTTTCTGGTTCTGGTTACAGTTCTATGACTAGACAGAAAAGTGGGTTTCGAAATCCGTGACCACCGTCCTGCTGGCAAGACAGCCCAACGCCCTTTGTGGCGTCTGATGAGCATGACAAAAAACGCATCTTCTTCCGAAGTGAATTTCAGAGGCCTTAGCAACTAGAACAGGGGTTGTAGGGGGTCATTGTAGTATAAGTACTGTAATACAGGGACCATAAGGGAAGATGATTAGTAAGTATTCCGACCCCTATAGTAGGCGCATCTCTCACCGCCACTTCTACTGATCAGCAGCGGCCCCCCTGAACGCTTCCGTGCAAGTCACCACTGCGGATCTTGAGCATTCGAGGTCCCTCGGCTTCAAGCCCTAAACCCTAAACCCTAAACCCCAAACCCTAAACCTTGAACCCTAAACCCTAAACCCTAAGCCCTGGCATCCAGCTTTGGGGGGCAAAGGGCACCGCGCCTCAGGTAGTTGACGGCCACATTCTGGAAGCGCATGACGAGCATCCCTGCGGGAGTTTGAATTCAGAGTTGGGGGGTCTTGAATCATCGATCTGCCAAGGCATCCTGGCTTTACTGTCTCAAGACTGTGCTGCTGAGCCACCTTATTCCCGAAGGGTCCATGTACCTCACTATCATATACGTGGGCCCCAAAGTCCCTATATCGGAAGTACTTTCAGGCCCAAGTATATAATAATGAGGTACATTGACATGGACCCTTAGGGTTATTCCCTAAATCCTCAGCCTGCCATGTATGCGGAGAGACTTGGGATTCAAGGGCTGTCCAGGGTTTCAAGTATGGGCCCTTAATATGTGTCCCTTGTGGAATAACATGACATATATGGGGGTTTGCGCAAAAGAGGGGGACCCCAATATAGATCCCCTTACAACAAGGACCCCAAGAAGGTAACCCCCCCCCCCTTTTTGAAACCGCCATTTGGAGTACGCAAAACCCTAAACCCTAAACCCTAAGCCCTAACAGAACAATAGGGGCCCATACCCTCGGATCCCTATAAAGAAGGATTAGGGACCATACGAAGGGCTCATGGTTCCAACCTTAGAGGCTGTAGAAGGTTGGGCTTATTTAGGGGCTTAGGATTTAGGGTTTTGGGGGTTAGGGTTTAGGGCTTAGGGTTTTCGGACTGGCCTTTGTAGTAGTAGCCTGTCAAGAAGGAGATGATGATGTCGATGTTCCTTGGCAAACGCTTTGAGGGCTCACAGCGTGGTACCCGCTCCAAGGCTCGCTCTCTCTCTCTCTCTCTCTCTCTCTCCCTCACTCCCTCCCCTGCCTGCTTCCCGACAGCTTTATAGGCCATACCTATTAAAGAAAAACCGCGCACCCTAAACTGTCGGCAAGTAGACCTTCAGATTTCGGTTTAGTTGGGTAGAAATTTGCCCCGCCCGCCCCCCTCAGCCCTAAAGCCTCACAATCCTCAACCCTAAACCCTAAACCTTGAACCCTAAATCCGAAACCTGCTGAAGCCCTACCTAGGCCCTACCTCTCTGGGATCCCATGACATCTTTGTCCGAAGATCCAGTACACCAGGGTGAGCCAAAGCATCACCTGCATGGGCGTGGTTTGGTTTAGGGTTTTGGGTTTAGGGTTCAGGGTCCAGGGTTTGGGGTTCAGGGTTCAGGGTTTATAGGATTTAGGGTTCAGGGTTCAGGGTTTAGGGTTTAGGGTTTAGGGTTCAGAGTTCAGAGTTTTGTTTTTGTTGTTTGGGAGAGGGTCGGTCTGGGAGTTTCAGCAGACAGGGCTAAAAGGACTTAGGGCTTAAGGCATCGAATCAGGGACCCTGATGTGGAAACAAACCATATCTTGCAAACACTGGCTCCCTGGCTTCGCAGCCGGGTAGTGGACAGGAATCTTGGTTTTAGGGTTTAGAGTTTGGGGTTTAGGGTTTAGGGTTCAGTCCGAAATGTGTGTAGGGTTTAGGGAACCTCGCGTCCTGGAGGTGGAGGGCGGGCGGGAGGCGTAGGGGGAGGGGTCGGGACCCTTAACCCTACAACCCCAAACCCTCAAACGAGGCTTTGTATCTAAGGGTTTCGGGTTTGTCGGGTCTCGGGATGGTTTAGGGTTTAGGGCTTAGGGTTTGTAGGCCCCCTTCGTCCGCACCTGTGAGAGCGTCGACGCAGGCATATCAAAGAATCGCAGGGGAATGACGACCTCTTGTGGTCGGTCATGCTCGGTGAGCTTGAGTATGCCTAGAGTAGCCTGGGTACCAAAAAACCCCAAACCCTAAACCCTAAACCCTAAACGGATATGTAGCGTTCATGAAGGTACACAAAGTATGCTCTGTAGGTTACGCTTTGTCAGGCTTAGGCCTGTTCGGAAAATTTCACGTTTAGCTTCTTCAGAAGCAGGTTTCGCTGGTTGTGACGTCGTTGTTCGCTGCTTTTGCTTCAGGGGGTTTAGGGTTTAGGGTTTAGGGTTTAGGGTTTAGGGTTTAGGGTTTAGGGTTTAGGGTTTAGGGTTTAGGGTTTAGGGTTTAGGGTTTAGGGTTTAGGGGGCACATGCGACCCTACTTGTAGCTAGGTACCAATGATCCTTCAAGTTGAGCTCAGGGCTGGATTTGAAGCTTTCGGCTGTAGCCCCTTGCAGAAGCTACTTGCTTAACTGCCCGAAACCTCGACCCCAAACACCTAGAGATGCTGCTGCTACACTAGGCGGGGAAGAGGAGGAGACTGGAGGGGGAGGAGCAGGAACGGTTTAGGGGATTAGGGCTTAGGGTTTTAGAATTTAGGGGTAGGGTCTAACCTGTAGAAAGAGCTCTCCTTGAAACGACACTAGTCTCCAAAACCTTCACGAACTGAGGCTGTCGGTTTAGATGTGGGTGGGGAGGGGGGGAGGGGGTTCTCTACACCATGGTCCCTTTTTGGGTACTGTACCCGACAAAAGAGGGGCCGCCCAGCAGTAAGGAACCTTAGGGTTTAGGGTTTAGGATCTAGGGTCTAGGGTTTCGGGTTTAGGGTTCAGAGAAGTGGCGATGTTTTATGGCTCCCTGCCAAGAACAAGCCTTCTCCTCTCAACCCCGGTGTCTGGAGCCTTCGGTCCCCCCCCCCCCCCCCCCCCCCCCCCGCAAAAAGCTTCATAGGGTTGAGGGTTTAGGGATTAGGCTTTAGGGTACAGGGCCCTTAGCAAAAAGAATAGGGTATCGGGGGCTCATTAGAGTAAAACAATAATCGGGACCCCAATGGAAGACTCTTAGTACTTATTCCGACACCTGTATTCTAGACCCATGAGTAACCTGGGAACAAAAAGGGTGCCCGTTTTGCTTTGCAGGGGATTCTAAACGAAACCCTAAAAGAAAGGAATGAGGGACTACTCTGGGCCCAAGATACCCTAAATCATGAGCCCTAAACCCTAAACACTAACCCTAAACCCTACAGACTATTGGGTGCTTATTCCGACCCCCCTAGATCAGGCTTCCCTTTTTTTGAATGTGTAGAGCCCTTTGGACCCCTAAACCCTAAACCCTAACCCTAAACCCTACAGACTATTGGGTGCTTATTCCGACCCCCAGAGCAGGCTTCCCTTTTGTTGAATGTGTAGAGCCCGTTGGACCTTAAACCCTGCTGCTTCAGCGATGAGCGGCCACATCCCATGTAAGGAACCTGTCGAAGGAAACCCTCTTGGAGGTTCATGGTTCTTGGGGTTTAGGGTCTTAGGGTCTTAGGGTCTGAGGGTCTGAGGGTCTCAGGGTCTTAGGGTCTTGGGGTAGCCTTAATAACGGCCCTTCAAAGGACCCCTTAAGATTGCCCATGGGCCCATACTGCAGAACCCCTTCAAGAGGGTACCATATGGGGGGGGACCCTGAATAGAGACCCCCAAATAGTAGGATTCCTGTAGAATAAGGACCCCAATAGGCCCATGAAATTACCCGTAGACAAGCCCTAAGTCCTCAACCCTAAGCGTTGGATGTGGTTTCAGGCTCGTGCGTTGTATATAAGCTTCGGGGTGTAGCCCCTACACCCTGATGCCTTAAACCCTAAACTCGTAGACCCCGAAACATTCAGATGTATGTCAATGTAGTACGCAGGGTTGAGGAGTTTTGGGCCTGAGACGTCTGGGGTTCGGGGTGGAGTGCGCAGTGCACAGTTGAAGAGGGAATGGGACTGAGGATGGGGAGCAGGGGTTCACGTAGGGTAGAGGGCGCTAGAGCATGTTGCTAGGTAGGGCATTTCGTCTGGGGCTTAGAGTTTAGGGTTTAGGATTTAGGGTTTACCCTAAACCCTAAGTACTACCAGTAGGGGTGGACCTTGCAAAACCGACCACGTTCCCGGGTCGCTTTAGGATGGCTGCGCGGGGCTGCGGGGCTGCGGGTTTAGGGTTTAGGGTTTAGGGTTTAGGGTTTAGGGTTTAGGGTTTAGGGTTTAGGGTTTAGGGTCATTTTTTAGGGGTTAGGGTTTAGGGGTTCAGGGTTTCCCTGAGATTCCATGTACTTCTTCAGGCCTTATAGAGCTTGCAGGGCCGAAAGAAAGGTTTTACACGTGTGGTTTATAGGGTTTACAGGTTTATAGGGTTGATAGGGTTTACAGGGTTTATAGGGTTTATAGGGTTTATAGGGTTTATAGGGTTTAAAGGCCCAAGTTAGAACCCCTGCGAACGAGATATGCGCGCACGCATATGCCTGAAAGAGGAAATACCCCTGAACCCTAAACCACAAAGCCTTCCTGATCCCACAGCCCCAACCCTAAACCTTAATCGTTAAAGCCTAAAGCCTAAACCCTACAACCCTAAACCCTAAACCCTGAACCCTGAACCCTAAACCCTAAACCCTACACCCTAAACCCTAAACCCTCAACCCTAAACCCTAAACCCTCAACCCTCAACCCTCAACCCTAAACCCTCAACCCTCAACCCTAAACCCTAAACCCTAAACCCTAACCCTGGCCCTAAACCCGAAGCTTTCAGTCCCCAGCCCTAGGGTGGGCCAGGGTTGAATTCGGGAGCAGGCTCAACCCTAAACCCTAAACCCTAAACCCTAAACCCTAAACCCTAAACCCTAAACCCTAAACCCTAAACCCTAAACCCTAAACCCTAAACCCTAACCCTAAATCCTAACCCTAAACCCTAAACCCTAAACCCTAAACCCTAAACCCTAAACCGTGGCTCTATAGCCTATTAGCCTAAACCCTAAAACTCATCCTAAATACGCCCCGTCCTAGCCCCTAAACCCTTAAACCCCAAAACTTAAACCCCTAAACCCCCCAAACCCCCATGAACCTCCTAAACCCCTTAAACCCCCTTAAACCCCCCTTAAACCCCCCTTAAACCCCCCTAAAACCCCCCTAAACCCCCCTAAACCCCCCTTTACTAAATCCCCTAAACCCACCTAAACCCTAAACCCTAAACCCCTTAAACCTCAAGTGCGGCCAGGGTAACAGCATCCCGAGCAAGCTCCAGAAGGATCGGAAGTGGCCATTCGGGTGGATGAGGAGACTCTCCATGCCTTAATGGCTTAGGGATTTGGGGGTCTAGGGTGTAGGGCTTAGGGTTTAAAAGG